GCCCGGGTTGTGTATTTGCGAACTTCCTCTTGTGACTTGGTCGGGTCAGCCTTGGCGTGCGCCTCCCTGTTAGCCGCCGTCCACTCCTCTTTCCTGGCCTGATGGTAACTCTTCTTAGTTGACTCCACCTGGACACACGCACGTGTTAAACACTTGCTATAAACTCAGTAAAGACTAAACTTCAATGTTTTCCAAAAATGTACCCATCTCTCCTCATTGACACATCAGATGTAATATCAGAACCATGACTCACTCACATCCATTCAACACCTGTGATAATATTACCTCAAATACAATCACCTATGACGTAATAGCTGCATTCAACCACTGTGTTATCTTATACGACAATCTTATAAAAGGAAAAAGAAGAAGGGAAGTTTATTCACCGACACTATAGTCAAAAGAAGCACTTACTTATATTTAGTGATTCACAACCTTGCCATTTCGCATTTAAGTCCAATTATGTCACTTTTTGTAGAGGAATTGCTAAATTCCAGTCTATGAGGGTCTGCAGTAGTCCCAAACTTATAGTGGACTGATTCCACTATTTTATCTCTGTCCTGATGCACAATGGTCACTGTGAAGATGGCAAGTGGCTGTGAGATCCCCGTTTTTCATGCAAATATTTTAACAAGACTACAAGTCACACTGTCACAATAATTGTGTCTGCGCCACAGTCTCCAACCACTGTTTTCCATAGTGTGACTGTAGCATAAAGCAACTTCATGTGTGACATTTGCTAAGAGGATGTGTAGACAGTTGCTGGCTTTTTTTTTTTTTCCATTAAAAGAAACCTTTCAACGACAACTTTGTAGACACTGGCCATTTGCAAATATTCACTACAGTCACGTCATCTCCATTAAATCCCATTAGTGTGTACTGCAGCCACTCACTGATGCAGACTGCCCTACAGACCAACGTCAGAAAATCTACTGAGGCTGCACTCACCTCCTTCAGCTTACGGACCCAGGGCTTCTGAGCTTTGCGGAAGCCATCATCCGCGTCCTTCGTCTCTCTGAAACCTCCCATCATTTGCTTGTGGAAGGCCTCTTTTTGCCAGCTGCGCACTTTCTCGCTGTCCTCACCCGCCAGCCGCTCCCGCAGCTCCATGTGCAGCTCGCTGAGTCGGTCAGCCGCTTGCATGAAGGCATGCCAAGCCTTCTCCAGTGTACCATATTGGGGCCCTAAATAAACGTGAGAAAGCACCCCTTCAGGTTATCACTACATAAAAATCACTCGTCCGCATTTGTCTACATGTTTACACAATTAATTGTAGGTCAGTGTTGTGAAACTTCGCCTGTGGATATTTTGATGGGGATTTCCATAAACATCGTGAGCTTTGCTACCAAATTAAAGATGGATGACTTAATTTATTAGATGATGAACAAAATATTAACTTGTAACAAATTTAGCCAGCTAAGTTATCATCTTGGTCATATTTAAATAGAAATCCCAAACATATCCCATTTATATCATAAATGTGACATTTGCAATTCCTGTGTTTTTATATATACACACATA